CAAGGTGACTGAGATCAGGTGGGAGCAGAAGGTGGAGAAGGCTTTAAGGTGACCCTGGGTGGAGTGGATCTTCAAGATGGAGGTGATGATGAAGAGGTAGGAAGTGAGTATGATTGCAGTGAGTGTGATGACATTGGAGGCCAGGACAAAGTACATCAGAGCCTGGTAGCCATCCTTCCTGCCACAAGCCAGCTTCACAAGTGGTGGGATATCACAGAAAAAGTCATCAGTGATATTGTTACTACAAAAGTTCAAGGCAAAAGTTCCTTTAGTAATGATGGAAGAGTTAATAAAGCCACCAAGGTATGAGGCTGCTACCAAAAATGCACACAGCCTAATGGGCATGGCCTGAGAGTAAAGCAGTGGCTTTGAGATGGCCACATAGCAGTCATAAGCCATGGCAGCCAACAGGTAACACTCACTGTACACCAGCCCGGTGGAGAAGAACTGAACTGCACAGCCAACAAAGGAGATGCTCTTGTCTTCAGAGATGCAGGTCACTAGGATCTTTGGAGTATAGACAGAAGAATGCCAGAGATCTAGAAAAGACAGATTCCCAGTGGAAAAATACATGGATGTGTGCAGCCTTGAGTCATTACAGATCAACACCATGAGGGTGGTGTTTCCTAACACAGTCACAGAGTAGACACCAACGAACATGACGAAGAGGACCAGCTGCATCACAGGGTCTGTTGTGAAGCCCAGCAGGATGAATTCAGTCACTGTGTGATTGCTTCTCTCCATGGCCATAGGGAATCTCACCTAGAAGAGAAAATGAGCCTGAATCACTGTGTCTTCCAAATAGAAAATATACCAGAATATACAGCATTGTATTACTTCCAATTATTGAAGTCTAGGATCCAGCAATGTAAGTGCTCATTTTAGAAAGAGTCTTCATTTTGCCACAAAACCACTCAGACTTTACAACTATATGTTGTTAAAAGATAAACTTAGGCACATTATAATTTTCAAGTGTTTCTTTGAACAAGCATCAATTTAAATCAGGCAGCTCTAAACCAAATGCCATTAGAAGTTTTTCTAAAGACAGGAGCTAGGGCAGAGGTATTTATGGAGTAGATGTGGAGGCAAAACAAGGAAAATGTTTGATTGGCCATAGTTTAAGTGTCTGCAACATTAGGAAAACCTAGTTGGCTGTTTGTGATTGGCTGTTCTTAAGTTTCATTTTCTCAGATTCAAGTGAATTGGGCCTGCCGTTGGTTTTGGTTTGCTTACACAGGCTGCCAAGGTAAAAAAGATATCTAAGTCTTATGATTTCCTTGTTTAATGACTTTAAAAATATCCAATTCCATATTTCAGAAGTTGGTTAATTATTTTTTCCAGTGAAGAACAATTGTTCAACTAAAGGAAAGATGGACTTACCTATGTTCTTGTACTTTGTTCCCCTTCATAATGACAGTTTGCTTTTTTGCTAAATGTGTGACTTCTTAGCTTAAATTGTTACTTGTTTGTATCTGAAGTACTGAACTTTACCTACTTTTAATATATTTTTTTAAATAATCAAATATTTTTCTTTTAGTGTGTCCATATAGTGGAATACCATACAGCCATTATAAATTTATATCTCATAGCAGTATCTAAGTAGAGGAAAATACTTATGAGATTATAATTAAAAAAGAGAATATATACACAATTTTGGGAAAAAGTATGTATAGGATAAACTTTTTAATACATGTCTTACAATAAAAAATGATAAAGGGTCAATTTTAAATGTAAGTGATTCATATATACTATATAAATAATACTGTACTGGAAACATTTACATTATTTTAAATTTTATTGCTTTTATAATTTTTTAGTATTAAGGAGTTTTTTCTTTAATAATAGCAGTTAAGCAAAAATAGATGTCTTAGAATAAGACACTAGATGTAGTGACGTGTTTAACAACAAGGAACTCTCACTTTCTTCAGGATTTTCTGCACATATAACTATAACCATTCTATTTTAATGGATAGACAGGAATATATCAAACAACTGTACATCTATTTAACACTCAAAGGACAACCCCATCCACACTAACTCCCATCAACCTATATTTGTAGCTAAATAAAAAACAGAGAATATGATTATTTGTATCCCCATCACCTTGGAATATAAAAAAACACTTAGTTCATAAAACACTATCAATATTATTGTTAATAAATGCCATTCTAAAAAATTAATTTTTTCCTGAGTAAAATATTGATCAATATATGATTATTCCACTTAGACTTTTGGTACTACTGCTCTACTAAAGACATCCTTATCAAAGGTCAATGACCGTACATAGCTAAATCCATAATCTCCTTTGGCTTCTCATCTGATTTGATGTATCAGAAGCATTTGATATAGTTTATCAAGAGAATGTTTCCAACAGAAAGACCTGATAAACTACTCTACAGTGAGTCATACGCATTATTTTATTTATTCCCACAACATATCAGCAATTTGACAGATGTCCATATCAAGTTTTACTGAGTAGCTAGTAATTACACAAGTAGTAAGTGATGCCGTCTTACTCCAGAAACCTGGTACTTAACCACTAAGTTATCTTCTTTAATATCTGATATTGGGGTGATAGTTGTGGACTCCATAGGTCCTTTTCCTTCTGGTTTTGATACCTTAACTCAAAACAAATAGGATAATGCTGAGTGAATCAGATGCTGTCCTAAGTGAGTGGTTCTTAAATGTGGCATCAGATACATGTTTCCGAGTGGCTTTCAAATCATCTTCTGGCAGAGTCACTTGGATTTTACGTTTACGGCCAATCCTGATTATGAATATCGAAACATTCTGCTCACCACCCCCAAAACCTGGACATTTATCTGCAACTCACAGTCACAGCCAACAGGGGACCACATCATGGATCCAGGTAATTTATAACTGCTTTAGCTGCCAGTGTATTTGATACTTTAAACACCACAAAGTTTCAGAGCTTTGAAAGACTCTGAAAAAGCAAGTCACCAAAAAGTGCATTGACATTATTTAGGAGATTCTTGCTCAATGTAAAAGAAGAGAATGAGTGAAAAAGTAATGATGTTAATTACTATATTTTGAGAAACTGTTCTTTGCAGAACACTTTCCTTGGAACTTTTTTAAAATTGTCAAACAACTCTATGGAGTATATATTGGAATTTTCTATGATAGACAAGAAGAAAAGATTAAGAGTAATTAATTAACTTGCCCAGGTAAACTTAGTGAGTGCAGTGAGAATTTAAACACATGGCAATCTGATTAGAAAATTCAGTTTTTCCCCTACACCAAGCGTACTTCTGGGAGACGCGTACTTCCGGGAGACGTATCTTTGAGTATCTATTCAACTATGACTCCAATGTTTTAAAAATGGCCTTCGGTTATCCTTAGTGTCTATACAGATAACTCTGGCAACAAATATATTCAGTATCACTTTTCCTCAGCTCATTATCCAATTTTTAAATGATAAGAAAGGTGTCATATATCATAATAAAATTTACTGAGACCTTAGTCTGTATCAGACATTCCACTAAGGGCTTTAAAAGACTCAACTCATTTTAACATTTACAATAATCTTTT